TTGTAAATGTGACAGTGTTTCTCCTTCTGTTTAATGTGTACAAAAACCAAAGTACAAAGTATAATACAAATTATTGCTGTACAGCGGATTATATAACTGAATATTTTTTTGATAGCGACTCAAAGAAGTCACGTCGCCTGACCAAGACATAGTCTGGTACGTAATTCCTGAAACAGCAAGTTATCATTTTTATACATCAGTATTTGCACAGATGAGATAATGTTGATTGGTGAACTTCAGTGATGCTGGTAACTAGATCTTGTTACCTACCCAGGCTATCTGTTTCCCCCGTTTCCAGTCTTTATGCTAAGCTAAGCTAAACAAAAGCTTATGGTTGCTTCATATTTAGCATAAGACTTGATTATAGCACCATTTTTCAAATCTAACTCTAAGAAAGTGAATAAGTGTATTTCCCAAAGGTCAGGGTTTCCCATAAAGGTGTTTGACACCAAAATCAACCAAAAATATTTATTACAAGGCTGGGAATTATTTATTTTAATTTGCTTTTCATTATTTTTAAATTTCCTCCAGGAGGCACCAATGTGCAGTTATGTAGATATATATATGTATGTGTATTTGTGTGTATATGTATATGTATATATATATACATAAATACAAGGCAGTTTTTTTTTTAAGAAAAAAGGGAAAATAAAAAAGAGAAATTTGTTCCTCCCTCTTCTGGTGGCCACCAGTAAATGATGCAATATAAGACTTCATGTTACCACGGAAACCACCATGGAGAGGCTCACAGGGGACCATGCCCAACTCCACTGACCAATCACCTTTTAGCAGCAACAACTACTGCCTGTGACAACTGCAACATCAGTTGCCATGACTACAGGAGCCAGCTCTTCACACTGCAGCAGCAAAGCCAAGGACACGCCCCCAGACCCCATGTGACCTGATGTAGAAGATTTGATTGGAGGACTGAGGCACTTGGCCATTGGCTGTTTTATTAAATGTGGCAGCTAGTGTTTTAATAGAAAAAAGAATAAAATAAATATTCTGGTAATGAAACTGAAGAATGAGCCTGGGATGTTTTTATGTGTGGGTTTGTGTTAATGTGGAACAAGTGTTTTTCAGGTTCCTGGAGATCCGATGAATATTCTTGTTTTCTTCTTTTTGCCTGTTGTCTCAAGAGCATGTCACCTGGTATGTGCGCTGCTACATACAAGTAAGTAGCAAACATTTTGTCAAATGTTTGTAAAAATGTCTGTTGGAAGACTAATGGGTCATTTCACCTGACTGAGTTACCATTTGTCTAAACTATTTACTTAGTCTGATATTGGTTTTTATGTTGGCCTTTTGCCTTTGTGGCATTACTTTGCCCAAACTAAAATCAGGGTTGCAACTAATCTTTTTTTTTAGCTTTTCCAATTAATTGTTTGATTTATGTAATGTCTGAAAGTAGCAAAACATTCCCTTCATGATTTCCCAGAGCGCAAGTTAAAATATTTAGTGTTTGTTTTGCCCAAAATCTGAAAACAGTTCTGTTCACACTAGACTGAGAACATCTGCAGATGTTTACATTTGATCAGCTCTAAGTAAAAAATTCAATTCTAAGTGAAATCTCTTCCTCGTTAAAGCAATATTTGGTAGTGACAGAAGTTGCAAAGAGCAATTTCTGTTTTCCCATGCTAAATTAAGAAATATGTCACTTGAAGAGTTGTTAGTCCTGTAAATCAACTTAGGCTGATGCAGCCTTTACAGCTGCATCCATTTCATCTTTCTCTGTCACTTCTGCCTCTGCACAGAAAGAAGGTGCCCACCTTCTTTACCCCACCTACAGTATAAACCTCTGTTTCTGCTTTAAAAGAGATGCATAAATGGTGAATGGTGGGGAAACCTTTAGGGCTGTTTCTAAAAAGTGTCAGGAAATAGTTTTTAAAAGGTTTGTCACTTCAAGTTGTTTATTTCAACCAACAAGTCCAAAACCCAAATCCATGAAACTTAGAAGCAGACAAAGGCAGAAAATGCTCACCTTTAGGAAGCTGATACTAGTGGACCTTTGGGTTTTTCAAACACCATTACAGTTTTAAACAGTGTTTTATTTTGTCCAGAGGAGGGCACCATGTAGCTACGGAAGACCTGAATACGCTGATATTATTATGGAAAAGGAAGCAGCAGAGAAGCTCTTCAGATGTCAGAGGAGTGCATTTATTAGATGTTAGAAGTGATGCACTGTAAAAATGTGAATGTTTGTTTCAAACTCCAGCAGGTGCTGGCAGTGTGCATGAGGTATTTCACATGTTAACAGGATGTGCTTGGTAAGAAAGCAGCCTGTAGTTTTGGGTTTGGTATCCACTGCTGTTGATGTTTGCAGACAGTAACATGTTACTGTAGCTGTGGTGCTGAGCAGGGCTACAGCATCACACTGCTCCATGTTTCCATCACAGTGCTGTCGGAGGCAGCGATCATCTTGTAATGAGGGACATTACCAGGCTGTCCTTCACTGTTGGTAGTGGGATTTTCAGCCAAATGCTGCCTCAGCAGCAGATCTTTGTACCAGCCCCACTTCTGAGTCTAACGGGACAGCAGGAGCAAATACTTTGCAGCCTAATCCCGTCATCTGGATGTTTGTTTGATGCAGACGATGTCCTTTCTCTTCATTTTTATTTGCTGTAGTTTCTGAAAGCTCTAATCCTGTCCTCTGAGGTTACCAACTGTCACACAGCCTGCCTTTCCATTTGTTCCATCTTTCACATTTATTTCTAATTAACCAGACAAGTTTCTCAGATCTCCTCACTTTTATTTGCTCTTACATGCAGTCTCAATTTGGTGGTTTTAATCTGGGATGTAAGAACAGTCAGAATCGTTCAAACAGATGCTTAGTGTCTGTGTGTGAGCTCTCTGCAGACACATGGCCCGTGTTCTTCACGCTGATGTCTGCTATTATTTGAAATCTTTTGATCTGCAGAGTTCATGATAATCCTGCCACATGCCTCCCTCATTACCAGCGCATAATGCTGAGGCCTGTCAGCTTCACATTGATGCAACAGGCCGAGATACAGACTGAAGGATGTCATTGCTTAAAGGCTGATGCTTATACTTTTCTCTAAAAGCCCAGCTGAGCAGCTCTGGCAGATGTTGGAGCTACATGTTAGCACCTCCACCACCCAAAACTGAACTGTTCTGGTGGAACGTGGTGGCCCAGCACCTCACTGAGATTGTGTGTTGGGTCGTGCTTGCAGCTGTCACCTGTCTGTGGATATGTTTCTGTCTACATACTTTTGGCCATGCACTGCAGCCTGTGGCTCTCTGCCATGTTTCTATGGTTTCATCTCCCTCTCTTTCTCTGTGCTCGGTGGTGCTCAGTCGCCCCGGTGGCCTGATGATTCAGTCCAGATCTGTGTGTGATTTCGCCAGCGGCTGCTTGTTGTTCTCTCACTGCTACATGTACGATGAGATAAGCCTCTTAGCCGGAGCAGAGCACATCACTCTCAGAGACATGCTCTGTTTCTCAGGACACCACGTTTGCTTTTATGTAACCAGCACAAATCAAGCACAAAAAACTTCTTGTCCATGCTAAAAAGTTAGAGATTTTAAAGACTGAGCAACAAAATTAATATCTTGAACTTGTTTTTTTTTCCGCTGCTGTTTCTTTTCAAGAAGGAACATTGAAGCTCAGCATCTTTTTATCTGTTGTGCTTCCAAGTTGGAACCACAGCAGCTCTGTAGATGATGTTTGCCGCTCGCCGCTTTGGTCACAACTGAAATATTTCAACATCCGTTAATTTGATTAACATTTTTTGTGCAGACATTCATGGTCCCCAGGGGATGCATTTGTCTCAATCCAGGGGGCTGCAACCTTCAAGGGAGGGTGTGGCCTATGAGGCGTTGTAGACCTCGAAGGCCAGACCCTACTGGAACCACGCGCCATGCAGCTCCTGTCACCTAGCAACATTCACAGCTGCTCTGCTTTCTGTCGGTGCGCAAAGAATCTTGGGAATGAAGGATCCACCAGTTGGAACCTTCCTTGCCTGAGGAAAGAAGGAAGCATTTCTCGGCCATATTTGAAGGAGCCTTCCACAGCCTTGTTGTGATGCTGTCGGTCCTCACAAGCAGCCTTTGAAGGATGTGTCCCCTAAACTGGGACACAGCAGACGAGTCCTCATTTTCACAATCCCCTGACTCTTCCTGTAGGGTCACATTTGTGCTTTTCAGTGAAATATCTCAACACCTACTGGGCATAAACATTTAAAAGGCTTGCACCCTCCTCTATAGAAGTAAAGCCCCTAGACTGAAGAACCCTTTGTGGTAGTTTTGTCTCCTTTTATTCATTGTGCATCTATATTTATTTTTTCTACATTTGGTTGCGGCCATCTCACAGCTCTTTGCAGCTACTTTTGGTCATTTTCCATCTCTTTATAGTTAGTTTGCTAGTTTTTGTAATCACTTTGTGTGTTTGTAGTTGTTTGACTTTCTGACAAGAAATCCTGTCCCTTCATACAGAGGCTCTGGTGCAGGGGCCCCGTTAGATCTTCCCACAGAGAGACAGCTGCATAAAAACGTTAGTAAAAGCCTTATTCTTAAAACAAAAAATCAGACAGTTAACAGTGTCATTTGCCAAAATCCTGACTTCAGATAGAAAGCAAATGTGTTTAATTTGATCTTTTGCAGGCTATTAAACACGAAGGATCTGAGATAACAAGAAAGAAGGTCTGTCCACAGACTTTCGGCCCCGGAGCGTGTGAATATAATTTGTCTGAAGCGACTCTTTAATATTCAGCGTTCCGGGGTTGAACGACACAAACCGAAGGACGAGGCCGCCGGAGGATAAACACAGGCAGTAGAGTCTGAAGTAGAGAGGGAGGGGGGATAAATGAAGCCGGAGGGAGATGAAACGGACAGAAAGCAGCTGCTGTTTGAACTCAGCAGTTTCTGAACGAGGAGGCGAACCGCTGCGCCTCCATCTCTCTCTGCCTCCTCATCCAGCCTTCTCCTCCTCCTCCTCCTCTCCATGCCGGCGGAGGTCTCCGCGGGGCTGCCATGGCGAAGATCCGGGTGTCGTACGAGTACTCCGAGGCCGAGGACAAGAGCATCCGGCTGGGGTTGTTCTTGATCGCCTCCGGGATCCTCAGCCTCTTCATCCTGGGATTCTGCTGGCTCAGTCCGACCCTGCAGACCCTCCAGAGCAAGCCGGCCAACTGCACGGTGAGCCCGGCTACAGCTCCGAGCCGCGGCGCTCCGACGGGCTGTAGTAGCAGTGGTAGTACTATGATTAATGGAGTAACTGGTTTGCTATAGCTTATGTAGTGGTACGCAGATCTAAATGTCTGTAGACTGTGGACAGATGTTGTAGCCCAGTACAGTCTGTAAACAGGCAGATGAATAAAATGTTGTATGGCTTGTCATAATAAAAATCGGTCTTCATCGTGAACTAGATACATGCTGTACACGAATCAATGCTTTAAATGTCCTTATATCTGTTTACTCTGCACTTAGTGTGTTTATTAAATGCTAAATAAGGGACAAAGTAAAGTATTACCAGTGGAAATGAAAACAGGAACCCAGTAATTTATTATTCTCAGTGGTATCACAGTGGTGTATTCCTGCTTGTGGTACTACAAATAGTTTATTTCATTAGTGTAAGTTGTAATATTGGTGCCAAAATTACTATGGGTTTTATTACATGTACAGGTACTGTTGTGAGTAGTAGTAGTAGTAGTAGTAGTAGTAGTAGCAGAAGTATCAAAATTAGTATTGGTGATACCGGCTTATCAGTAGTAGTACGTGGACTGTTAGCAGCAGTAATAATACTAATACAGAAATATTAAAAACTGTCTGAATCAATGTTAAGACTAGTATGCCATCTAAGTAGCAGCAGTAGTAGTGTTGTATTACATGTACCTGGCTTTAATTTATGAGGTACTACATCTACCTACTGGATTTTCAGAATCAGCTTCCATTGTTTTATTAGGGACATTTTAATAACAGTACTAGTGATTCATGCGGAAACAATCAACATAATCACAATCCACTTTGATGGTTTATTCATTTATCAGGCAAAACTGCTAAATATTTTTTATTCTAGCTTCTTGCAAACTGAATACTGTGGGGGCTTGGTTGGACAAACAAGCGAAGACCTCAGAGCAGCTCTGGGGCGCTTTCTGTCATTTTACAGACTAAATGATTACTCAAGCAATTTAAAAAAATGACAGATTCATTTATAATAAAATAATAATCAGTTGTAGCCCAGTATAATACTGGCAACACGGAGACAGGACTCTGTGATAATGTAGTGCTATTGTTTGTTTTGCAAACTAGTGTCCTTTAATTATTTGTAGGAAGCCTTGACTTAAACGCAGACTGTTTGGAAAAGACCTCCCTCACACACATAAGGTGTAACAGTGTTCTCAGCATGACTGTGATCATTTAATATGTGCATCTGTATATGCGTACTGGGAAATGTCCTTACTGGTACGTTTAAACATACCTGATAAGTGCTGAAGAATCTTGTGACAACATGATTTCTAAGGTTCAGGCTGAGATAACCTGTGCTGACCTCCTCCAGCCACTTGGAAAGAGCGAAGCCTTCACTAATCAATCAGATCAGTTTTGTCGGGGGGGGCTGTGCCCAGATCTGCTCGTCGCCACCAGAGCTGATCTCTGACTCTGAGCTGTCAGCCCAGTTATAGTACGGTAGTCATTAGCTGCAACGATTAGTCGATTGATCATTTAGCAACTACCATGATAATCAAATCATCATCATAGTCTATAATCAATTTTAATCCAAGTATTTCCCTCAGTATTTCTAACTTCTTTAATATGAGCAATTGATTCTTTTCTTTGTCAAAAACTGAATATGTTTGTGTCTGGGCTGTGAGAATTTGAAACATTGGTACGATTCTCTCGCATTTTATTAACAGAACGATAAATTGATTTATCAAACTGATAGAATCGGATGGGATAGCCCTCACTGTCTGTCGCTGATCGACCTGGTTTCCTACAAATTACATTTTCATATTACAAAATTATTCTCCCAAGCAACTTCATATTTGCAAATATCTGGCACCCGAATCCAGATTTAGATGCATGCTCTGATTTTTATAAATAAATCACATGATCTCTTACCAGTAGGTAGGTCTGTCTAAATGTAACATAAATTAAAATTTTAAAATGGCAAAACAAAACACAGTTTGTCAAGAAAAGCTGCTAATGGAGCTACACTGCCAGTCCAAAAGTTCCCAGCGAACTGAATACTAGAATGGTGGCACCCGATTTCCTGTTGGTGACATTTAAACCACTGCAGAAGACGAAGGCACCAAAAGATGGCACAACAAAAACATGAATGACCTTTAGTTTTGACCAAAAGTTCAACATATTGTGGGAAGTTGTATCTCGTCCACCTGGAGAACTCCTTTCATTGATCTAATCAGCAATTAGAATCTTTTTTGTTGTCAGGCCAAAGTGGATTTTCAGCTTGTTTACTTCCTGTTTGCACAGTATTTTAAAACCACTGGGATTGTTCCTGACATAACTTCCAGGCGGCCACAGCCTGCACTCCTGTTTCCTGTGGATGATGGATTCTGACCAGCTGGATTTATTTGGCTGTGAGCTTATTGCATCAGCCTGAAATCAAGTTTGTGCATGATAGAGAGCGGAAGCCTTTTCTTTTTAAATCATCCCATCTGAAGCCATGTGGCAGTGAGTCCACTTTGTCATTCGCTAATCTTTGGCTTAATACAACATAAATCACAGTGTGTGGATGTCAGTGCTGCTCCCCGACCTCCTGAGTGATGAGGGAAGGGTGGACTTTTATCTAATCTGCGTAGGATGGTTTGCTGTGTATTGATATTTATTGTCATGCCTGCAGCTAATCAGCAGGATGAGAAATGCAGCCATCATTCTTCATTTACATCGGAATCTTTCAGGCCATTTTCACTCACATGTTCGTCCAAAGTTGCAGTGTCCACACATATTTATGAGCAGTAAACTCCAGACCAAATTAATGTGCACCAACTGAGACACTGACTTGTATGTTGAGAAGTGGTTTTGTTGGCAGCATGTCAGTCAGTCCACCGCTCCACTGTATCAGTGTAGCTGATGGTGAAAATGACTAAAGTTAATACTGGTTTAAAGCAGTTTGAAGTTCAGCATCCACTCTTGTCCTCTCCCTCCAGGTGGTTTCAATGCTGCATCCAGAGGAGATGTTCGAGTGTGTGTTCACATGTGGTGCGGACTGTAAGGGGACGTCGCTCTATCCCTGTCTGCAGATCTTTGTCAACAACTCGGAGTCAAACTCTGTGGCTCTGCTGCACTTCAACGAGCAGCAGCTGGTCCTCAACCCCAAGGTACCGTTAGGAGCCGATTGCACTCCGACACTGACACACACAGGGCCAACAGACACACACTTCTGTTATGTTTTTGGATCATCCAGCCTGTTCTTATGAATTCCATATCTCAGGAACACCTTGAGGAAAGTTCTTCAAATTTGGCTCTAGTGTCCACTTGGACTCAGGGATGAGCTGGTTAGATTTTGGTGGTGAAAGGTCAGTGACCTCACGTCTGTCCCATAGAGAATGTGAAGTTGTTGTTACACTGTGTTGAATTTTGGGTAAATGTGCCATTTTGTGGGATCACGTTCATTGTCCATTGTAGAGCTATACGTGTTATCTGTATAACAGTCTGTGTTATCTGCTGACAGCTAGCTACCATTAGCTCCCAAACCGAGAGCTGAGATCAGGGTGCAGAGTCATCTGTCGCTCTCTTCCACTGGGCCTCTAGGTCCACTACAAGTTAGCTACAGTCGGCTAAGGAATTACCACAGTTGGTAAAGTGAGATCTGAACGATTTAAGCCTTTTGGCTGTTCCAGATTTGGTGCTAACTGGCCCAACCCCTTAAAAACATTTCATCCATGCAGCATTATAATCTTGCCATGTCACCGTAGAGTACAGCCTGACTCTGGTGACCCCAGAACACATTCATGTCAACCTGGTTGTAATTCAGAGTCACAGATAACAGGAATTACTGATCAATACAAAATATTCCTGAACCAATGACAAACTGCTTCCAAATCCATCACTCAAATACAAAATTACGCATGTATGTGAATACATTTGATTCAGCAGATTCACTAGGAGCTATAGATTTTTTTGTATTTTGTTTCACCTGGTTACAAACTGGTATAAATGGGTAATTTTGGCAAACGTATTTGGTGTGACTAGGCTAGCAATGTACCCCCAAGGTAGGATAACTTCCTCTTGTCTTGTTTATTTGATGAACTACTTTATCAGTCCAACAAATAACAACATCAACACATCAACAGTGTTTAAAAGTCTGACGCACCCCACACTTTTTAAAAGATTTATAGGGTTTCAAGAGTCGAGTGGCCAGTTCAAGGTGCGTGGGACAGATTAACCTCCAATGAGGGGGAACATTTGTTCAATCCCATTTTTCACGTTAATGTCGGTATTTTATCCGACACCCAGAAACCAACCAGGGCTCCAGTTTTCTATGATGGTAAACCCACCATCTTTATGTTTTTCACTGTTGGTCTTGACCTGGCCTTCGGGGAATAATACTGGCCTTTTCTCATTATTCTCTGACATTTTATAAATGAAACAGTCAATTGATTATCAAAGACAACCTGGAGAGAATGTTTATTGGCTGCAGCCCTACAGTTTTTCTATGATGGAATAATACAGTCTTGCCTGATGTTTTCTGCCTCGACATAGAGACAAAAGTGAAAACGACAAACAACCACACTATAAACTAAAATAGTAACATTTAACACTGAGACAAGGCTCTAAGATGGAGGATGGAGAATCTGTTTCCGTTGATGTTGTACGTCAGCAATATATAGATATACTACATATATAGATAAGATATATATTTTGATACAGTATATTGGATATATAGATAAGATACTGTTAGATATAGGTATAAGATATGTCCATTACCTCCCCCCCTCTGCCCCTGGACCGTAACCCACCACAGAACATGAAAAGACAGAGAGAGAGAGAGAGAGAGAGAGAGAATAAAATGTTGGTTTCTTTATCCAATGAGCGTCAGAGTTTTTGTGTCCCAGCTGCTTGGAGTCCAGAGAAAAAATAAATAGATCCAGACACAACACACTATTAAGATGCACAGTGTGAGTGAAGGACTGTTAACAAACAGCTGACAGTAAACATGTCCCAGCTGACACCATGTGTCCTCTCAGTTTACACTCCTATTGTGGCCAAAAGTATATGGACACATCATACTTTTGTGTACTTTTCTTCAGCGTTTGTTTTAGCTCCTGTGAAGGGAAAATCCAGTGTCAACAGGTTGTTTTCATCCTCTTCAGTCTCACAGTGCTCCGTCGAGGCCGGATCACCAGCCGGGAAAATGATCTTATTTCACATGGGTCTACATAGTTTTACTAATCACGAATTTGATCAAAATTCACTCGCCTAAAGTTAAATATCAGCTGCTGTGCGTCGGGTCCTTTGTCCTTAATCTGGAGGGTTTTACTGTAAAACTGTTCTGTTTATTTCTGTGTTATGTAATTAACACAGAAAACTCTGGGCATGGTTGTATTATGAGAACTGTGAAGCTGTAAACAAAGGAAAAAAAATAGTGGTTTCCTGACATTAAGAAATGTCAGGAAATAATGACTGAACATGCAGCCGTTACTGCCTGAAGTGACATATTCAAATTGTTTTTCAGTTTTGTTTTGCTTTAAGATTCTTAACAGAACACAAGGGTTAAGTAAGATTTTGAATGCAAGAGTCTTACATTTAACAGTATTTTTACACTATGGAATTAGTACTTTTACTTCAGTAAAGGATCTCAGTACTTTGTCCAGCAAATAGTGTGATGATTGCGCCTGACACAAGAGACTTCTTCTTCTTCTTCTTTAGAACACGTCTGCATCATTTCTACGGCAACAAAGTAAATTTAGAGGGAAGAGACAGCGCGTCATCGATGCCGCCTAGTTGTCGTGGCAACCACAACAGGGATGGGGAGAGAGAAAGACCGACGAGTCACGCTTCATTCAGAAATCCTTTAAAGTCTAATGGAGAGAGGGAGGCTGGATGTTAGGGTGGATGTCGCACTGTCTCACACCGTGACCTTTTATTTTTCACTAATGAGAGGTAGAGTCATGCTTCAAACAGACATACTTTAATACTCCACCCCATCACAGCTCATATTTTCAAGAATGAAACTGGTATTAACATGTTGGCAACAGCACAACACTGGTGTATCTTTGGGGCTGTAGTATCCAGAAGGAGTATGTGTCTGTTAAATACCAGGATAATTCCTAGTGGTACAATTAAAGGTGCATTAACTCAGATTTCCCACGCTTCCTAATAACCCTGGTGACAGTGGGACAGGTACGTGGTGTCTCTCAGCTACACACCCCCATCCATGACCCTCTGCTGCCTACATTCCTGTTGTTAGTGTAAATCATACCTCCTGGGGATAATGGACACAGTGAAAGAACCAGCTTATGAACACATCATTTTCCTTTAAGAAATGAGCTCTGCCCTTTTACTGGACTGACTAATGAGAGTAACAGACGTGCAGAGTTAATTGCAGTTGTGTCTATAATGGCCACTGTGCCCGTAGACCAGAGAGGGAGACTTGGACTTAATTGGTGTTGTATCTATAGGGGGCGATTAGTTAATGGAGCCGCCTGTGGCCCAGATGAGTGACATGACATTAAGATCATCAGCAGCATGACTGTTCCACAGACCAACTGTCTGTGTGTGTGCTAGCACTGAAGGATAATTCTGGTTAATAGACTTTTATTTTGGCAGAACAAAGCTAAACAACAAAGCTCTGTCCACTTCCCAGCTGAAGTTTCAGACCTGATGTGCACAGCAGTGTGAACAAACCAGATGTCCTCAGACCTGATCTGAGCCACCTGCACGACCTGGTTGTTATTCCTGTGTGCACGTGGCTCACATTTCAGTTACATCTGTGCACGTGTGGCAGATCAGGAGCTCAGCGGTGTTCACACCAGAGCTGGGTACACAGATGGCAAGTAGCAACACAACAAGTTCAGATCTGAGCGTTGAGGCCTGAGATGCGGACGCAGCCTGAATTGTCTGTAGACACATTCACACTTATGATGTTAAAATGTCACTGTCAATTAATGTCCCACATAAATAAATAAACACACAAACACGCTGCAGCATAAAGCGAGCTGGGATTGTAGACAGTCGTGATTCCATAACCGGATTCCATCTGATAGACGTTCGATGAACAACACGCTGTTTCTTTAGGACTGATTGGATCTGAGCCATGTCAATAGGTCAGTTTGATAACCTCCCCAAACGTTACTGTGGACACACACGCTGTGTTTTCATTTCTTGTGGGGACTTTACATTGATTTGCATTCATTTCCTGCAGACTTATCCTATCCTTAACCACTACTTAACTAACACCTAACCTTAAACCATGTTGCCCCCTAAAATTCTGTGATTTCCTTGATGGCCAAGTCCCCACAATGTGAGTGTGCTAACAGGTTTTGGTCCCCATAATGTAAGTAATACAAAGGTGCACTAATGTGCACACACAAACTGAAGCACCTCTCTTTATTGGGGTTGGGAGTTCATTTCATTTTTGTACAAACAAAAATGAACTTTGGAAAGGAGCAGAGAAAAAACTGCAGGTTTCCACACAGGGTCAAGGCTGATTCCTAATGGGGCCGGCCCTGTGTGTGTGTGTGTGTGTGTGTGTGTGTGTGTGTGTATTTCTCTTTCCAAAAAAAAAAACACACACACACACACACACACACACACACACGTACAGCAACAGCTGTGTGACAAAAGTAAATACCTACCACACACTGCCCAGCAGAGCCTTGTTAGCGCCGTGTCTCCAGAGCAGCATCAGTGCTCCTCTGTTGGAGCATTCAGAAAAGCTGAAATCCCTCACTGAAATTTTAACAACAAAGTAAAGCTGCTTTGGCTTAAGGAAAAAGCAGAAATCTCTGGACACACACGGTGCTGTGACAATGTTAGTAGCTTCATGATGGGGATTACCTGGCATAGTCTTACAGCTGCAATGCTAGCCAGTTGTATTGCACAGGCAGTCTGACTCTAACATTTGACAAATTGTTGATATTTTAAGGTTTAAATCTCCAAAACTGTCACACAGAGATAAAACAGGTCTGTAGTGTGATGTCATGAGCTGCAGGTTAAGTCAGTTTACCACATCCTGATGAAAATGTGCTGCAGTTTGCTTTCTGCCAAATTCCTAAGTCTCCATTGTCGACATTCACAGCAGATGGGCTGCTCCTACATTTCCCAGAATGCTTCTTGACCTCGCAGTGCACAGAAAGTGAAGGAACTTCCTGCTTTC